GTGTCTCGCCTACTTTTTCTGTTAATCGCAGGCTCAACAAAAATGAGGAAGTAAATCAATAAAAATATTCCTCCTGATACTATCTTTTGATTGTAAGAAGCTTCTGTCCAAGTTTGTTAAAAATCCAGGATAGTTTATGAATCTAATAAATGTTTAAAAACTTTAACTGCAGACTGAATGTAATGTAATGTTAACTGGAAGAAAACAAAATTTCCTTCTAGATACTAGCATTTGATCATAAACAAGCTTCTGTTAAAGTTTGGTACAAATCCAAAATAGTATATTAAGAAAGTTATTAAAATTTTAAAAACTTTAACCACAGAATGAATGTGTTGTTTCCTGACAGAAAATTTAAGTCCATTTAAAAGTAAAATACGGAAAAAATGGATTTATTATTTTACAAAATTTCCTTCTAGATACTATCTTATGATCATAAACAAGCTTCTGTCCAAGTTTGGTACAAATCCAAAATAGTATATTAAGAAAGTTATTAAAATTTTAAAAACTTTAACCACAGAGTGAATGTGTTGTTTCCTGGCAGAAAATCTAAGTCCATTTGAAAGTAAAATACGCAAAAAATGGATTTATTATTTTACAAAATTTCCTTCTAGATACTATCTTATGATCATAAACAAGCTTCTGTCCAAGTTTGGTAGAAACCCAGGATAATTTAAGAAAGTTATTAAAATTTTAAAAACTTTAACCACAGAGTGAATGTAATATTTCCCGGCAGAAAAACTAAGTCCATTTATAAGTAAAATACGGAAAAAATGGAATTTTATTTTTACAAAATTTACTTCTGGATACTATCTTATGATCATAAACAAGCTTCTGTCCAAGTTTGGTAGAAATCCAGGATAGTTTAAGAAAGTTATTAAAATTTCAAAAACTTTAACCACAGAGTGAATATTTGTGGACGCCGCCGACGACAACGACGCCGACGGAATGTAGGATCGCTATGTCTCGCTTTTTCGACTAAAGTCGAAGGCTCGACAAAAATTGCCGTTAATAAAAAAAAAAAAAAAAAAGAAAAAGAAAAAAGAAAGAAGAAAAGAAAAATAAGAACTAAATCAATTAAAAAAAATCTAAAATTAAAAAAACGCCTGTCAAGCTGGAATTAACAATGCTACTTTCGATTCATATCACAAAACAAAAGCCCCTCATATATCAGTATGAGACAGCAATTAGAAGATTCATATCTGTCTCAGACTGATATATGAGCGGATAGAGCTTTAATTCCTACATTCTTTAAGTTTTAAGACCTTATTGCTCTATTCTATTATTCTGTATTCTTAGTCTATTATTCTCTATTCTGTAAATCCGCATCCTGACCCCCATATATCATTTCATTGAACTGTTTCTGTTAGTGTCCAGTATCTTTATGCCATTATTTATGTGTTGTCTACAAAGGTGTATTGCTAATTCAAAACCACAATATAAAGTCATTTATGAAAACTTACGGTCCTACATCCTTTCGATACTATGACTTTGTACTTATATTTTGGAGTTGCTCAAGGTTTTCGGTTGCTTTTATCTGACTGTTTATGACGTCTTTACACTTAATCCGATGGATGTGTACTGATTGACACTTTAATCTGGTAGATTAAAATTTGTCTATTAATTGTAATTGGCTTTGAAACTATAAGTACTCCCAAATCGATAATTGTGTTTTTGGTTTTTATATTATTGTTTTGTTTTGTGCTACGTGTCGATTTGATGAGTCGTTGGTTGTTGTCTGCCTTTAAAAGCTGACTATACGGTATGGGTTTTGCTTATTGTTGGTGGTCGTACCGTGAACTATAGTTGCATACAACCATGCACGTCATTTGAACTTTATCCCGTATTTTACTATCAACACTTGATTGTATCAGAGTTGATAAATTCATCCCAAACAAGATATTGTTAAGTATGTTGTATAAAAATAGAAAATAGAATATACAGTGCAAACAATGAAAAAAAAATCCAAATTCTGTACCCAAGCGCCTGTGGACTAACTATTTTCACTCGCCCCTTTTGCCTATCTAGATCATATGTCGTTTAAATTATGATAAAACAAACCTATCATTGTTGAAGGCCGTACATTGACCTATAGTCTTCTATGTCATTTGGTCTCTGGTGGAGAGTTGTCTGAATGGCAATCATAAATTATCTTCTTATTTTTATACTCACAGTACAGCTACCATCAGGATAAACACTATATATAAACAATGAACATGAACAAAAAAGGCAGCACATATTTTGGAAAATCATGATTAAATTATTCTCGCCACGACAGGAAGCTAGCTTCTAGCCGTAGATGTCGGTTAAATACTTTCAAATTGAACTCGTTCCTGGAAGGAAACTCTGAGGAAATCTCCCCGCCAAAAGGGAAATGCCAGTTTATAATCACACAAAAAGAAACCCAAATACGGATTATCTTGGAAATCATCAGAGGATCACAAATCATTCTTTCTATATTGTAGGTTAAAATAATCATAGTTTTTATAATTAATAAATCTACTTATTCAAAACAAATCTTTATTGTATTTTAAGTTAGATGAAAATCCCATTCCTTATACTAATTAAGAGTATGATCTGGGTTTTTTTTCAGTATACGAGAATATTTTAGATACAGCATTACTTAGTATTGTTTTATACTTCTTTATTTGTTGTTTAAAAGTTGAATTGGTTATTGATATCAGATCCGATGCATTACATTTGTGCGCATTACCATTACATTTGCGCGCAAAAATCATTACGTTTGCACGCAACTTTTGATTATATTTGCGCGCATTCTTTACAGGTAAACTCAGGTAAATACAGGTAGATTATACCTATTTATTTATTTAACTATTATTTTCGAAGAGATCATTGCATTCTTGTAGTCTGTTAGGTTTATTCACCGACTTTTCTATAGGCTCGAGACGATTAAGATCTTGACATGTAGGGTCTAAGGACTTGACAAGTTGTTTGCTGTTGAAAACCACGGTTATCCTCTAAATGTATTTTGTTGTTATTTTCGTCTTGTCGGGTCGTTGTCTCATTAACGTTTACCCATATCTTTTTTACACTGAGAAGCTTTAAAATACATGTATAGTAGTCAAAGAGTCAAAGGACCAAAATCTCCTGAAACCCAATCCTATAATTGTAAACAATATTAAGTCACCTTTTATGTACAGGACGACTATCCCAATCTACAATGAGCGAACATATGGTGTTAAAATTATGTCTGATTGGAGTAGTTCTGCGAGGTAGTTGATGTCTGACCATATTCGACATAGTAAAGGTAATTAAACAAGGGACCCAGTGCTTGAATGATTTTTGGCGGGATTCGTGTTGCTCAATTTATTGTTTCCTGTGCAGTGACTGTTGTTTGTCTTTACGACGGTATTTTTTTCCCACCACTGTATTGTCTGTTTTTCTTCGAATTGTAGTTCTTGATTGACCCTTGGTATCTTTTCCATCTTGAACAGTATAATATTCATGTCTGAACACAACTAGATCAATACAACTTTAGAATCATTTATATTTTCTTATTTTATTTTCATTCTATTTTTTAACAAATAATTACCGGTATTAAAACCAAGAATGATTTATTATCAATGAACGGTACTCTGTCACTTCACTAAAAAGTTGGTAGGTAATTTCAGATGACACTATATTCTACCAGAAAGTGAAAAAAATCTACAAAATTGCTTGTATAATTACTCTAAGTTTTAATGATTTACTTATTTAACCAATTCTTACTTATAAAATGATGCTGAGACTATAAGGTGTAACATATTGTAGGACTAAAAAAAGAGCTAACAAATATTTCTAGAGTTTATATATGTATACATTTAATTGAGAGTAAAAAAAAATGAAGAATTCTCCTCATTTTGCAATAATATGTAAAGAGCAATTAAAAGTTCCCCCAACTTGACAGCTGAGCCTGATACCTACAAAATGAATCTTTTATATAACCTAAAGATTTTTTGTATGCTTAACGTGATTATATACTAGTATAATGAAATAATAGCTTCTTTAAAGAGCCTTAAGATTGAGTATAAAATTTTTGCATTGACAAATAACGAAAATATAACTGAAGACATTGGAGTATATTCAGACTAAATAAAAAAACTTTAATTCTCCAAATAATTCAAATTGATAATATAAAGAAATTTGATCATGAACATTTGATTGAAACAGGTGACTTTTTTCTTTTCTCTGACGGCCTTTTTAAAAAGATTTGCTGAGCCAAGTCCAGCAAGCTTGTAACATAATACTGTACACATCCAACGAATCCCTAACCGCATTACACGTCGCTAAAACTAACAGATTTATGCATAGGTACTTGGGGACAGGACAATTACCTTTAACCTTCCCCTTTTTTCATCCAAAATCCGTTATTAATATTATATATATGATATATCAGTGACCGCTGTGGATAGTAAACTTGGAATTGATAGTAAATAGCATATACAAGTTATTTCTAGTGTAGTTATGTTCATAAAAATACAGAAAAACGCGAAAATAATTGAACTTAATAGAAATAAAAAAAAATAACGGATTTTGGAAAAAAAAGTGGGAGAGTTAAAACAAAATTGTCCGGTCCCCAAGTACCTATGGTTTTTAAGAATAAACTATTAGATACAAAAAAGTAAATAGTTTCACAAGTTTGGAGTTAATCTTAATCGTCACAATATAATGAAGATGCAGTGTTTAAAACAACATGAAAATTCAATTAAACAGTATTATCTTCACGTTAATTGTATCCACTTTTGTAAAAGTTTTATCATTGATGAAACCTCAATTTGTTGTGAAAGTATTCAAAATATCCCACACAAATCACAACCTCCCACACAAATCACAATCTCCCACACAAATCACAATCTCCCATACAAATCACAATATCCCACACAAATCACAATATCCTACACAAATCACAATCTCCCACACAAATCACAATCTCCCACACAAATCACACAAATCACAATCTCCCACACAAATAACAAAATCCCAAACAAATCACAATCTCCCATACAAATCACAATATCCCACACAAATCACAATATCCCACACAAATCACAATCTCCCATACAAATCACAATCTCCCATACAAATCACAATCTCCCATACAAATCACAATCTCCCACACAAATCACAATATCCCACACAAATCACAATATCCCAAAATTTCCCACACAAATCACAATCTCCCACACAAATCACAATCTCCCACACAAAAATCACAATCTCCCACACAAATCACAATATCCCAAACAAATCACAATATCCCACACAAATCACAATATCCCACACAAATCACAATCTCCCATACAAATCACAATATCCCAAACAAATCACAATCTCCCACACAAATCACAATCTCCCACACAAATCACAATCTCCCACACAAATCACAATATCCCACACAAATCAAAATATCCAAAACAAATCAAAATATCCCACAAAAATCACAATATCCCACACAAATCACAATCTCCCAAACAAATCACAATATCCCACACAAATCACAATCTCCCATACAAATCACAATATCCCAAACAAATCACAATCTCCCATACAAATCACAATCTCCCACACAAATCACAATATCCAAAACAAATCACAATATCCCACACAAATCACAATCTCCATCACAAATCACAATCTCCCACACAAATCACAATCTCCCACACAAATCACAATCTCCCACACAAATCACAATATCCCACACAAATCACAATCTCCCACACAAATCACAATAACCCATACAAATCACAATCTCCCACACAAATCACAATCTCCCACACAAATCACAATATCCCACACAAATCACAATCTTCCATACTTTTTCAAAGCAAACTATCAATCTCGCAACACATGATTGAAAAAGATTGAAATTGCGACTCAGAAAATATAGTTTTTGTTTGTTCATTATCATCCTTCGTAAAATACTGGTTCGTAAAATTGATTCTCTAAACTGAGACGTACAACAAAAAAAGTATTTCAGGTTTCATTGTTAGCCATCATTCTTTACCGTGTAGTTCTTGTATATTTCTCAGCACTAAAACTCTCTGGGAAGCCTAAATAGTTTGACGCCAGTAATGTATTTTCATATGGGTTTGTAGAGTCGAATGTTGGAGATACAGTTTTCCACATACGGGACATTCAGACTGATAGGAAATTTTGTGCGTCTTGCGATGAGATTGTAAACGATAGTTCTCGGGGAACCGCTTCCCACATTCTTTACATTCATAAGGCTTATCACCTGTATGCATCCTCGTATGTCTCTCTAAGTCGTACTTCCGTATAAACTGACCTTCACATGTCGTGCAGTTATAGGGACGTTCTAAATAATTCTTAGGACTGTATAGCTTCTTGCCTTTATTACATTTATTTAAATCAGTGTAGGCATGCAATTTGGAATGTGATTTACGACGACCACTATTAGATGATACGGTTCTATTGGATCGATCACAGGTTGACGGTTTCATGTTGCTACCAACACGTGTTGATCTCTTTTTAATGTTTGGTCGATGTGGCACGGCACTAACAGGAGCTGACAGCGCGGATATGGTTGAGACAAACGAATTACACGTAGATAAATGTTTTTTGTTTAAACGCGTAGAAATTGATGTTTGTGTGTTGACATTAGCTGATGTTCGTGACTTATTAAAGCCACCAGAGTTTGATAGTGAGGCTGACATAATTTTAGGGTCAACTGGAGGTAAACAATGTGTTGTCTCGTGGTTGAAACAGTTTTCCGGAGTTGCTGACCTGATTTTAGAGTCAACAGGAGGTAAACAACGTGTTGTATCGTGGTCGACAAAGTTTTCCTGAGTTGCTGACATGATTTTAGAGTCAAATAGAGGTAAGCACTGCATTGTCTTGTGATCGAAGATGTTTTCTGGAGTTGCAATAGATCCAACTGTTGGAAGTTCAGGTATGTTGATGAAATCAGAAGTTGTAAAATTCGTGCTGTTGATAACAGAAATTGATTTAAGGATACCGTTGGAGCTAGTGGTAGACGGTTCGGATGTGTTGCTCTCAACAAAAGCTGATGGTGTTGCCGTTTTAGCAATGCCAGTAGACCTTTGTATCGTATTGGCGATTACAGTAGTTGACGTAAGTGTTGTGTTAGGAACGATAGAACATGTTTGTTGAGCCGTGCTTGTTGTGATAGAAGTTGCTGGTAGTGTCAGTATGTTGTCAATATTAGTTGATGATTTAACGTTTTGACACCAGTCATGTATTTTCAAGTGGGCATATAAATTTGAATCATGGGAAAACTGTTTCTCACACATAGAGCATTTATATGATTTTGTACTTTTACTCATGGGAGTATCTGAAGAAACACTGTACAAACATTGTTTGTTTTCACAACATTTATACTGAAGTCGGAAATGATTGTTCAATGCTGAACTAGATATATACTCTTTTCCACATATTCTACATGTGTAAGGTTTAGTCACTGTGTGTACTCTCCAATGTTGTTGCAAATGACCTTTACGACTGAACTCTTCGTTGCATTTAGTGCATTGATATGGTTTGATATTTTCGTGCGTACGTAAATGACACATCAAAGAACTTTTTTGTTTAAACGTACTGGCACATTTACTACATGTATAAGTTATTTCCTCTTTGTGTGTTTTCAGATGTTTTCCTAATTTATCTTTGGAACCGAATGTTTTACCACATTCAATACATTGATTTAGTTTGTGACTGGTGTGGATTCTCTTATGAACCGACAAATTAGATCTCCATCTGAACCTCTTTTCACACAAATCACAATCACATGGTCTTTTATCTTTGTGTATTTCGGGTTGCGAATGTGATGCAGGTCTGTTATCTGTGAATGAACATCGTTGTAACTGATTTCTTCTTCGTTCCATCTGCTTTTCACACTCGATATTTGAGGAAGTTGATTGTATCAACATTTTGGAGCCAGCAGATAGTTTAAAGTTGCAGCCAGTTGCATTAGCCTGTTGTGTTATTTCGGAAGTTAAAGATTTTGTTATGTTCTTTTTACCTGAACATGCCGTAGAAGACAGTGTTGCTAGATTCGTTTCATTAAACCCTGATTTTATTATTATCTTTCTTCCATCCAAATTCGATTGCAAAGTTAAATTGGCTTCATTAAAAGTAAATGCAGATGTTGTAATGGTATCAGTAAAAGTTGGATCTATAGTAACGTTAGTTGCATTAGAAGTTGGATCTGTAATAACGTTGGTTGCATTAGAAGTTTGTTCTGTAGTAATGATTGATTCTACAGTAGTTGGATGTGCTGTTATATTTTTTCCACCAGCAGTTGAATTTTCTGATTGCGCTGGTATCTTTCTTCCACGCAAAATTGATGATGGTGAATATTTACACTTAAAATTGTGTGAAGATTGAGTCATGCACGTGTCTTGAGATGGTAGTCTATGAACTGTGTAACTTATGTTTCCATTGTGATCAGTTAAATTATCTCTTTTAAAATTGCAATAGTTATGACCTTTCACCACTATCTGTAAGCCATCCAATTCATCTAACTCCAGACAATATACATCACAGTCACGTGACTGATAGATAGTATTTGCCATTTTCCTTTACTTTGATGCACTCCACAGCTATGCCAGTATCTCAGATAGCGTTGTTTTTCTTTATCTGTATAATCATAAATGAAAACTTAATATTTTTAAAGTTGGTTAACTTGGCGTTGTTGAGTTAAGTTATATAAAATTAGTTTTCGAATCAACATACCATTCAATATGATGATATATATGATATACACTCTTTAACTATTAATTTGTAGCATTTTATGAAAAATCAGAAGTTGGGTAACTGTTATATGTTGTATTTTTTTAGAACATAAAATGTATATTTGAAATTTAATTTTTGACACTGTTCATGGTGTAATGTATCCAAAATGAGTATGTTGTTTAGTACTAATTTAGTGCAACTGTTCAACATACATTGGTGTAACTTACTCTTTAACTTACACAATGATGTCAGGTGGGAAGTAAACATTAGTTTGTTTATTAACAAATACTGTAATTCAAAAGAAGGTAGACTGTTTGCCTGTTTTGTTGATTTTCAGAAGGCTTTTGATACTGTTATACATACAGGGATCAAGATTAAACTACTAGATATTGGGGCTGGGTCTTATTTTTATAACATTATTAAAAGTATGTATGAAATTAGCAAATTATGTGTCAAAATTCAAAATCAAGTAAGTGATTTTTTCCCATTAGATATTGGAGTCAAACAAGGTGACAACCTCAGTCCGGATTTATTCAAGATATTCATAAATGATTTGCCCAGATATTTGTCAGATACTAGAGACCCAGTTAATGTCAATGACAAAGATCTACATTGTTTAATGTATGCTGATGATATTGTTTTATTATCTACATCAGCTGAAGGACTAAGAGAAAAGCTGGGAATGCTTGATAAATTTTGCAAAGATTGGTGTCTCAATGTGAATACTAATAAGACAAAGGTGCTGATTTTCAACAAGGCAGGCAGACATGTAAAACAGATATTCACATTTCAGAATATAAATCTGGAATGTGTTTCAAAATACAAATACCTAGGTTTATATTTAAGCTCATCTGGTTCATTCAGTTATGCTCAAAATGAACTATACAAAAAATCCCTGAAAGCTCATTTCAAATTAAGGAAAGATCTTTTATCACTTAATCCTGATGTAAAAACAAGTATTCATGTTTTTGACCACACTGTAAAACCTATTTTATTATATGGTAGCGAAATATGGGGGATGTTTAATTCTCTTTCCTCTAAATGTAAGAAGGAAGATATATCTTTTGAAAAATTATATTCAGGTTTACCCTGTGAGAAACTTCATATAAAATTTTGTGAATTTATACTTGGGGTACACAAGAAAACAACAAATGCTGCAGTGTTATCTGAACTTGGAAGATTTCCAATATATTTTAATATTATAAAAGGAATGTTATTGTACTGGTATAGATTAGAGAATTTAGGTAATAATTTTCCTCTATTAAAAGAGGCATATACACAATCAAAGACACTACATCACATGAATATAACATCATGGTATGGTTCAATAAATGTTGTTTTTAAAATACTTGGTATTGACTATACAAATGCCATAAATGCTCCATTTTGTGAATCCTTATACAAATTTAAGAAATATATACAAACCAAGCTATCAATATTGTTTATTAGCTGTTGAAAAAAACAAATAGATAAATTTTCAGACAGTAAACTGAAAACCTACCTTTTATATAAAACAAATTTTGGTTTTGAAAAATATCTAACATTGATCAAGAATTTTGAACTTAGAAGAAGTTTTACTAAATTACGTGTATCTTCTCATAGATTACAAAAAAATTAGGTAGATATCAGGGTATTCCCCGAATTAACAGAATATGTAATAAATGTTCTTCCAATACTGTCGAAGATGAGTCTCATTTTCTATTTGATTGTAACAAATTTGAGGATGATAGAAATTGTATGTTGGCTAGTATTGCAAAATATAATTCTTATTTTAATCATATGAGCAGTCAAAGCAAAATTATCTGGTTATTTAGTGTAGAAAATGTTGAGTTACTTAAAATAATATGTAATTTTATATACAAACATCTTCCTTAGTGAAGATTAGTTAAAGGAAATCTATGTGTGTATATACATTTGATTGGACATAGAAAATTATATTCATCTGAATATCACAAACATACAAGCCGATTAAAAAAAAAATAATAATTGTCAAGATATATTATTTATTCAAATGTTCTCTTATATCCTTGAGGCATCGTCCCCTGGTATCAACTGCATTCAAGTTTCCTATGATGCTTCCTTGTTTGCTTTTGATACAGGTAGGAAAGAGACATTTACACACATTTTACATGCCTATGGCCCATAAGGTATCGCCCCCTGGTGTCAGCTGCCTTTAGGAAACCATAATGCTTTCCTATCTGCTGCTGACACAGGATGAGTCATGGACATGCTTAATTTCTACTTTCTTTTTGGCTAATTATTATATATTTAATTGATCCAACTTTTTGTGTACTATACATATGTGGATATCTATTTTTCTTTTTTTCTTTTTGGGCTGCTTGTTTGTTATCTATATCAACCACACTTGCAATAAAATGCATTAGTATTAAAAAAAAAAAAACATACTATAGATTCTTTATCTACGTATTCTTTAAGAACTTAAATAGTTCTCGTTTAAATTTTTTTTTTTTCATCTCATTGTTTGTATTGTATTATGAAAAATTATTGATGTTGTAATGTTTATGCCCTTTGGGGCCCATAATTGGAAATAAAAATATCTCTTATCTTATCTTATCTTATATTCAAAATTAAAAACAAGTTGCTTTCTTTAAAAAAAGTAAAGCAATACATGAACCTAAGACCGCTGACTGGTCACCAAAATACTGTTGCTGAATTTTTGTTTGCTTTTGAATTGAAATAATTGACTGTGAATAGAAGGAGATAATGATGATGTTAACACACCCTTATTAAAAATATGTAATAATGTGTACATTCTTGCACAAGTCAGTTGAAAGCAATGTTGGATAGGTGTCAATAGAAAAGTGTATATATACAGCTATTTGAATATACATTTTAAGGCTCGACTATTTTAATTATTACTTGGGAGTTTACATCATTTTTTCATAATCCTATTGCAAATCCCAGTTTCTGCAAACCGGATGTCTAATGCAAATTGCACAAACCAATCGCAAAATAAATTTAAGCACTCAGTTTGCTTTATAATCTGGATGCATTTATTTTATCTATCATATCTTCATATTTTGTTTCCTTGATGCCTTCAGTTATTCTTGGTAGATGTGTATAGATAAATTTGAAGTTCAATTTCTATGTGAAGTGAAACCCTGTGGCATGCAACTTATAAGAAGGTTTCGTATATTTTTCTTGTGAGTAACACACCAGCTTTATTGGGACCTCTTATAAAGAGACTTATTTTGGTCTCATAAAACATCTCAAATTTTAAGGATTTCCTGATTTTACTTAAATCAATCCAAATATTCTACAGGAAAACTTGGTTTTGGAGAATATCTTATTTTCAGAAGTTTTATGAATACCTAAACATACTCTCAAAAGAACCAATTTATATAAAAAGATATGTAGATATAAAAAGATACCAGGATTAAAATGTTGTACCTCAGACGCGAGTTTAGTCTATACAAAGAAACATCAGTGACGCTCGAATAAAAAAAGTTAAAAAGGCCAAATAAAGTACGAAGTTGAAAGGAATTCACGACCCAAAATTTCGAAACAAAGTTTGCCGAATACATCTAAAGTAATCTATTCCTGGGGTAGAAACTCCTGAATTGAGATAAGAAAAGAGAAAATTCACATTCGCGAGCGAAATTAATATTTATGCATGCACATGGTATTTATGCGCAAGAAATAGTAAAGAGAAAGCATACGCACTGATACTCTGGATAAGAATACGCATTTGCG